TTCAGGATTTGTGCGGTCTCCTTTGCAAATTTCTTCACGTAGGGGATCACATGCCAAAATTTCGGTTTGTCGTCGTTTAGGCGCTCATGGGTAGGCTTCCGACCGTGAAAAACCATTGACTGTGGACAGAGAGCTTAGGTGTTTTGCCTTCTTATTCCTCCCACCATCGCTACGATGCGCTTGAACGCATTGGAAAAGAGTTCTGACACAACGTCGTTTGTGACCAATGGGATAGTTACTTTGGAATTAGAGGATGCATTTGGTGTTTGTTGTCTTACTCAATATAATAGTTCTTATTCTCCCCTCGAAAGTCCTCCGAACTTATATATTCAGGAAGAGCAACTAATGATTAGTTTATTCTTCAATCGTAAATCAAATGGCGGGAAATATGGAGTTCAGACAAGTCTTAAAGTTCTGTAGTGACTAGCTCAAAAGGAAGTACACTTGTGAAAGCCAGTCGTGACTAGCTCAAGTCGAAGTGCACTTTTGGAACGCTTGCTGCTTCCGACCTCTGTAACAGCCAATCACAGGCCGACTCAGACAGGACCTCATGTGACGACAGCCGAGCAGACATCACTTCAGACGCCGTCCACTGGCTTGTGGTTGTGCGGTCGTCTGGTAGTCAATTTCCTACTGCCTATACCTCTATTCATTATTTTGTACAGAACATACTGTAAGGAAGGAGAGGACGCGATCTCTGGAACGACAATTTGATTCTTCTGAGCTTTCGGCAGAGAAAATGAGAAAGCAGCAAACGTTGGCCATGCGTAAACAGGGATGGGAGGGGGGTGGCACTTGTGATTGGTCCATGCCCACGCCACGACCATACTCACGCCAGCTTATTGTGTCGCCCCTGTGCGCATCCCTGGAGTTATGACATGTGACATTGACTTGGCAGCCTGTGTGCTTGGACAGGAACCGGGCCGTGGTTTCTGATCGCGGACACGGATGACAAAATAACAGGACGGTATATCCACATGCCTGTTGATGGAGTTGGAGTCTGATATCCAGGCCTCCAGTAGTTATCACCCCATCTTATTAGCAGCGCGTGCCATTATCCGTGTGCCTGAGAAGTCGAATTCGTGGCATTCTTCCAGAGTGTGAGTAGCGATCTTGAACAGTGAGTCGCCTCTCCGCACTGACTGTTTGTGTCCCGTTATTCGCGAGCTGAGTCTTCGCCCGATCTGCCCTGTATAATGGCGAGAACAGTCGCGACATGGCATCTGAGAAACAACGTCAGACTGCTCGCATATATCCAGAGGGTCTTTTATTTGCATGGCGCGTGAACACATGATAGCTATCGGACGATCAATACCCGCGCCGAGCTCTGTTGCGATACGCTCGGTTGCTTTTGATACCTTTTGTGTACGGCAAAGGGTACCAGAGCGTTGATGGCTCTCTTTCTTTTGTTCCCCGTAGGCGCGTATGGAAGCAGCGGCTGACGAAGTTGTTCAGGCATCCATTCGTGGCCAGTTGGTCTCGGAGATGTCGTAATTTCTGCACTCGCATAGCCAAAGTTTGCTGCTTTTTCATCTTC